TTTTGGCACTGAATTCACAGAATGACAGGGTTGGAAGAGACCTTCAGGATCACCCAACCCACGCCCAACGCCTCAGCTAAACCCTGGCACTGAAGGGGGAAAAAGGGGGAAAAAAGGCTTTTTTTGGCATGTAAATGAATCCCGTTTTTGGGGGATTCAGAACAGAATCCCTGGATTGGAAGAGACCTTCAAGATTGTTGAGTCCAGCCCAGCCCCAACAGCTCAACTCAACCCTGGCCCCCAGTGCCACGTCCAGGCTTTGTTAAACACACCCAGGGATGGTGACTGCACCACCTCCCCGGGCAGAACATTCCAGAACTTTATCACCCTTTCTGTAAAGAACTTTTTCCTGATATCCATCCTAAATTTCCCCTTGGGGCAGCTTGAGACTCAGAGACTGAGAGAACCCTGCCCCAGGCACGGGTGGGTCGGTACCAGCCTGGGATCTGTCTTGGTGTGTCCCCTGGCTCCAGTTAGGACTGACAGCATTCCCTGCTAGGCCTGATTTACTTTAAGCTGCCCACGCTTTATTAAATCCCAGCAGCAGGACCCCAAGGCCAGGAACAGGCTCTAAGTGCTGCTGGAGTAACTGCATGGAGCAAATGAGGAACATTTGGTGTTTTACTCCACTTGGGACCCAGCTCTGCTGTGCATTCAAGCTTCTTTATTGGGGTTTTCTGCTTAACTCTTTCACAGAATGGGGAGGTTTTTATCAGAGAATCATGGAATGGTTTTTAATCAGAGAATCATGGAATTGTTTGGGTTGGAAGGGACCTGAAAAATCCATTTCCAACACCCTGCAGGGACACTGTCCCAGGTTGCTCCAGACCCCATCCAACCTGGCCTTGGACACTTCCAGGGAAGGGCCAGCCACAGCATCTCCCCCAAAAGGGGCAGGTTTATTCTTATTTTTAATTTATTCTTATCTTTATCATTCTGATAATGACACTTTTAAAAATCAAGATAATCAAACCTCATCTTCTCAGTGATGAGCAGGATCTCTGGGGATAAGAACACTTCCTGCTCTTGCCCTGAGGAATGGGTGGTGTGTCCCTGAAATCTGCTGTCCTCCATTTTCTGGGGATCAAGGATGGTTTTTAATTCCTGCCCTCCAACAAACCCAAACTCCGAGTCAGTCTGAGCCTTCTTTATTGCTCTCACTCTTATGAGGAAGGCATTAATACCAGACAGGTAATTTATTTTTCTTAATTTAAGGCAAGGTTCCAGCTTGATGGACTCCCAGCCCCACCAAGCCCCCCCCCCCCCCCCCCCCCCTTCCTTTCTACAGCTTTAAAAAAGTGACGAGTGACATTTAAAGGAGCCAAAACCACCTAAAAATTAATAACTTTCAATACACACTACATTAGAGCCTTAAATCTTCATGCAGCTTGAAAATATCTATAAAAGCACTAGATTTGCCATGGCCATCATGCCAAATTCCTTCAGGGACTTTTTCCAGTGGGGAGTCAGGATGAAATTGTGTTTATCAATCTTCGGAACACTTGCAATTCATTACTGAAAAGGGCAGCTTATTCCAAAAGATTTTTAAATCTCACAGCAAAATATTGCCAGCCTTGGAAATAACTGGGAGCAGGAGAAGTGCTGGGACAGGCTCTGGGACGCAGAGCCCACCCCAGCATTCCCTCAGAGGAATTTCAGTGCTCCATGGACATTTCCAAGGTGACTATGAGTGAAAAGCAGCATCTGATTTCCACCAAGAATCCCCCAGATTCTTGGAGAATCTGTTGCTTCGACCCATCAGCAGTTGGGTTTTTTTTGCAGAAGTTCACAGCTTTGGTTGGAAGCTCTGCAGCTCCTCTGGGGGCTCTGTGACCTCGAGATGCCACCAAAGCCACCATTCCCTAACGAGGTCCCTTCGTTAACGCCCCTTTGCTGGGAGAGGAGCACCATCAAAGTCTCATTTTTAATTTTTGGGTCTTACCTGGAGACCTGTTGAGTTTCTCCATTCTCCCTTGCAGAGCAGCCACTTCCCTCACCAGAGCTGTGTGAAGAGGAGTAGAAAGGCCTGGCCTAAACAGAGTTTGGACACGGTCTGAAGCTGAAGGTGCAACAGGATCACATGAATCCAGGAACTGAGGCTTCAAAAAGAACACAACAAATACAAAACTCGCAACAAAAGGCTGGGGATCAACACGTTGATCTTGGCTTTTGGCATTATGGCTGGAGAGCAAATTTTATATGAATTTATTTGGCTTTAATTGCAGGCAGGAGAATTAAATATTTGATTTTTGTGAAATCTGGAGCCCCACATCAGTTGGTAAAGAGCCCTTTTGGTCTGATCACTTGAGCTCAGCCCAACAGCTTCTGCTTTGATCCAAAGCAATCCAGGACACAAATTTTTGGCTCTTCCAGACCTTTAGCACTTGAGGAAGGTTTAACTTCATGCCATCAACTCATTCTTGGAGCATTTTCTCCTTTATTTTTAAGGATACAAACAGGAGTTATGGACTTCTTATCCAGACTGGCATCAGGGTATAAACAGAGGAAACCCAGCAACATTTTGGGCAGAAAACCATGAATTTACCCAGAGATTGTGCCCGCAGTAGTTTATTTTGTTCCCACAATTCCCACTAATTGCCAAGAAAATCTGTAATCTAATGTCAGTTCCAAACATCCTCCAAATCAATGCTAAAATTAGGTTATTTTGAAATAAGGAAATAAAGAAGGGGGAGTTTGTTTAATTTTACCTTCTCTTTCAGTAGCTTTTCCCAGAACAGAGGGGGAAGTTGCATTCAAGAAGATTATAAATGAAATTAAAAAATAAACAATATATTCTCCAATATCCACATGCCCAGCAGGTGGGGGGCTAAGGAAAAAACACACCAAGACAAGAAATATTTCTGGGTGACATTTCCTTCCCCGGTCCTGGCAGATGCAGGACGATCCTCTCAAAAATTACACCAGAATTATACAATTGCCGTTAATGATCCTTACAATAAAAATATCTCCATTCTCGTCCTTCAGGAGCACAGGAATGCTGTTCCCCTCTGGGTATTTATTGGAATCCATCCTCCTGCTGACCTGGAGCTGACAGGAATGGGTGGGAGCTCTTTCATTTTCAGCTGCATGGGTCAGTGTTTTAAACTCGTGCTTGGAGCAGATTTTTCCCTCCATCCATGGCACTGCCAAGGCTGAAAGGTCTCAGGAGATCTCATCTGGAAACTCCTCATCTGGATTTTCACTCCATTCTCTTTTCATTTCCTGCCCAACACTTAATTCTAAATGCATTACCTTCCGTGCTTCAGGTTCACTCTGTGTGTCCACGTTTCCCTGCCTAGCCCAGCACATCCATCCCCATCTTTCCTTGCCTTCCAGGGAAAAATAAATCAGTTTTCCAGGTGAGAAACACAGGAGACAATAGAATATTGTGTCTAGGAGACAGCACTCAGCACTTGCAGGAATTCATTAAGCCTTGTGGCCAAGATTTTGTATAACACACCCAAATAAATACCTGAAATAATCACCAGATTCATTCTGTCCTAAACTTTGTCAATGTGTTATTCCCCCTCCAGATAAAAACTCATCCCTTGTATTCTAATCTGAGTTGGTTTAGCTCCAGCTCAGGTTTGCAGATGAAAAACCTCCCTTCTGGTTAAAAACCCAACTTTTAGTTTAAAAAAAGGTTGTTTTCCTTCTCTTCCCCTCCCCCCTCCCCAAACCACCTATTTTTTTAGACAAACCAAACAAATTGAGCTTCTTCGGACTCAGGTTTTTTAAATTCAGAACAATTCCCTGATTTCCTTCCAAGAGGGGAGGAACAGGACCCAGCATTGTCCCCTCTCTCCCGTGTCACACACCCAGAGAAATCATTCAAACAGTAGCGTGGCTGTGGTATCCCAACCACAAAATAATATGTTTATTTTTTTTTCCACCACTTCTTTTTTTTTTGTTTGTTTGTTTGTTGTTGTCATTTTATTGATAAAAACTACACAAAAACTAACTGATCATAATAATTAATAAAAAACAAAACCAAAACCCAAACCAAAAAACAACGTTACACATTCTGCTGTGTTTTAGAAATTGTGTCAGCCAGTGAGTTGCACTAAATGCTCTTTAAAAGATTTTTCTTCTGATCCGTTTCAAGCACTTCACTTCCATTTTGGTTCCCAAACGTCCACAAATTTTGCTTAACAAGCATCACTGGCCTGGAAATCTGAGTCGTGACTCTGTTGCAGTATTTCCCCTTGTTTTTTTAGAGCCCAAAAAGGAATTAGAGTGTCAACAATGAAGCACAATGAAGATAAAAAAATCAAAAGCCCCCTCCGTAGTGTACAGCCTGTGTCTTAAATGTACATGCACCCAAGTTTCTTTGTTTCTGTTGCATCAATTGCCAAGGTCCTTTTGGTTCAACATAAGCTTTAATGCCCATGTCTGAAGGTTGAAATATTAATGCTCAACCACTTAAAAAAACCCAGGGAAAAAAAAAAAAAAGCCCAACTGAAAAACCAACCCCTGAAAGGAAAAAAGAAAATATAGAGCTATCTTTTGTTGGTTTAAAAAGAACAAAAATAGTCAACGGATCTTTGTAATAAACACTTAATAAGGGAACATGGCTGACCCTCCCCAGAGCCTCGCCCTCCCCACCCCATTTATTTTTACCTGTGGTTCTCCTTCCCTGGAACCGTGCAATGTAGAAAAATCAAATATACAAACAAAACTCTTAATCCATCCCTTTATGTAGCTAGAGTGAAATCTATTTGCTGCTGCCGTTGTTGCTGTTGCTTTTGTTCTTTTTAATAAAGAACTCGACAATCTCTCTCTTTAATATTTACACCGAGGAATTTGTTTGGAAAGTTTAAAGCAAGGAAAATCCTGAAGTTCTCCGCGTGCGCTCCACGCGCCGGCCTTCCCGCCGAACGGAGGCCGCCGCCTGCCCTCGGAGCGTTCGCCGCTGGAACGTTGGGCTTGGAGTGCCTGGCCCGGTCTCCTCCCAGACGAAAGGTCCCTCCCAGAGCTGTCCCCGGAGGTGGCGGCCCCCGTTAGTTGGGTATTCTCTCGATGTAGATGGCGGGCGCGGCGGAGCGCGCGATGGTGGCGATGAAGCTGTGGTCCCGGCCCAGGTCCAGGTTGGAGGTCTCCGCTGGCTCCCGGGACACCGTCTCGTAGCCCTTGTTGACGTGGAGGGGCTTGTGGGCCTGGCAGTAGCCGATCATGGGCTGGTCGTAGCTGTAGTAGGGTAAAGTCTTCATGTGGTGAGGGACCTGCACCAGAAACGGGACCAAAGAACAGCAGCCGTCAGCGCCAGCCCGAGCCTCGTGCTCCTGCAGCATCACCAGAAATCCCAAGGCGGCCTCAATCCCCCCCGGATCAGCCCACGGGAGGGACCCCTGGGAGCTCCCAGCTCCCTGCAGGACATTCAGGTCCCTCTGGGACAGCACTGCCAGGCTGGGAGAGCGCGGGTGTTCCGCCTGGAGGAGGAAATGCTCCAGGGGGATCCTAGAGCCCTTTCCAGAGCCTCGAGGGCCTGATAAAAAGGAGGGAGAGGGACTTTTTATACGGACAGTGGTTTTACACTGTCACAGGGCTCAGTTAGATGGGATAATGGGAAGGAATTCATGGCTGGGAGGGTGGGGAGGGGCTGGGATGGAATTCCCAGAGCAGCTGTGGCAACCCCTGGATCCCTGGAAGTGTCCAGGGCCAGGATGGAGCCACCTGGAACAGTGGGAGGTGTCCCTGCCTACGGCAGGGGGTGGAATGGGATGATTTTAAGGTCCCTCCCACCCCAAATTGTTCCAGGATTCCGTGATCTGTGTCCCCACTCCTGGAAGGATCTCCTGCCCGGCAGTGCTGGAGCCAGAGCAGAGGGAGCTGCCCTCCCTCCCTCTCTCCCTTTCCCCAGTTTGTGGGCAGATGTTCAAACTGCTCACTTCTGACTCTTTTGGATGACCTGGCTCTGAAAACCAAGCCAAGGGGTTTGTAAACCCGGCAGCTTCCAAAACTGACCCCTTTTCCCAGTGCCTGGAAAGGTGCTGAGTGCTTCCAGAGCGCCCAGAGCAGCCTGGGAATGTCAAAGGCAGAGGCAGCTGGCAGCAGGGGTGGTGCCAGCACAGCTGGAACATCTGTTTATTGCTTCCAGGACAAAGCTGCTCACCCAAGGTCACGGTTCCCCGCGTTCTTTGTCTTCCAACCTCCCCAAGATAAACACTGTAAAGCAGCTCCACTGCTGCTCACCAGAGCTGAGCACATCCACACCTTGTACAAATGTATTTCCAAACCCTGCCAGATCCATCCTGAATCCCAACTCTTCCTTATGTAAATCCTCAGAAACTGCCAGCCCCCCACCTGCTTTTTTTCTTTTTTTTTTTTTCCCCCCTTCCATAAATATTCTACGCTTGCAAATGTTAATCCTACGACTAAATATGATTTATGGCACAACATCAGAAACAAATCTTTGCAGATAATTTTATCATCTGCAAGAGATGAGCTGATCAAGTCGAAAGAAATATGCTCTGAGGGAGAAAAACACATGTGGCAGGGGAGAGAGAGGCGAGAGTTGATTCTAACGCTGCCAGCAAACCTGAGCTCATTATAGCTGGAGATATCCTACACATAATCCAATCTTGGAACAAATGCCTTTTGATTTTCCAGGCTGAACTTTAAGTGAAGACCACAGAGATAATTTCTCCCAAATTTTCATTGCTCGGTGCTCTTCATCCCATAAAAAAAAAAAAAAAAAAAGCACGGAAAAAGCAAAAGCATTAAAGCTAATTGGGAAATTTTGCAGGGTCAGAGCTCCTCTTGATGTGGATCCCCTGCAGAACGCTGGAGAGATCCCAAAATCCTTCCAAGAGCTGGAATTCAGCTGCAAATATGATTTGACATGGCAGCTGAGTGGCAGGGACGCAGAGGACAAGCTGCTGGGCGGAATTCGATGGGACAACTGTGCTCGCTTGTGGATTCACAAGAACATGGATCTCCCCTGGAGAGAGCAGGATCCGTGCCAGAGCCTGTCAGGGCTGAGTTGGCCTCAGCTTTAAGGCAGCTCTTTATGATTCCATAAAAGCCAAGGAGTGTTTGTGTTCCGGAGGGCTGAGGGATGGAGGTCCTGGCTGGGCAGCAATAACACACAGCCCATTAAGCACCTGAGGCCTGGCTGCAGGCTCCAAACAGGAGTCAGAGTGTTACAGAGGCATGTTATAATACTGGCTTCTTGCAAATATTAAAATGGGTTTCGTATGTGTGGTGTTAAAGTGGCTTTGTTGTAAAGGTATGGTTTATATTTCTGTTGTTAATTAAGTTAGACGTAGTAGTGGAAGAGGTGCTCGTGTTAAAATGCCTGCTTGGGTGGGACAGCACCCAGGGAACACAGGATGAGCACACCTGCACAGATCTGCCAACCACTCACCCTCTGAGGGCAGCGTAAGGGAAATTAAAGAAATAATGGTGTCAAATGGATGTGAGGAGCTTTGTCCTCCAGTGAAGATTAATGCAGAGATGCCACCAGCCCCTTCCACCTCTGGCAGCCCTGGGGAAGCCTCTTAGCCAAGGGAACAACCACGAGGGCAATTCAAACCTTCCAAATTTGAAGGAATTTTGAAAATTCCTTCAAAATTCAAAGTCAAAGGGAGGGCGCCAGGACTGTCCCACAGAGTCCTGTCCTTCCCTGGCAAACAGCTCTGTGTTTGCAGGAAGACACAAGGGCTCGGCTTTTATTCGCACTGAGGTGACACCTGAGCCCCCAGAAAGCTTTTCCAGGACACAGCCTTGGCTGTGGGAGCTGCTGCAATTGTGGGGACAATTGTGCCAGCACTCATCCAGGAAAATGATGGAAAACACTGGGGATGCTGTTCACTCTACACAAAGCTGTTACTATTCTATTTTTACAGATTCAGAGATCAACAAAACACATTCAATACCATCTAAGCTGCAGAGAATTAATTTTAGAAGTGTTTTTGTTCTAGGTTCTGAGGTAATTTCTTTTTTTTTTTTCACTCCTGCTATGGAACTAATACCTGAGACACTCAGATATAACCTTGCACAAGTCATTTTATGAGCTGTAAAATGAGACTCTTCAGTCCTGCCCCTGCTTGTCCTTGGAGTCTGGAGCTCTTTGAGGTGAGGACTGTTTGTGCAGAGACTGAAACAACCCAGCTGTGACTTAAGCTGGGCCTTTTCAGCTGCTTTGGCCTCCAAGAGACAAAAAAAATAGAAACCAGAACAAATTCCAGTCAAATAAATTTAAAAAAAATCCAGACAAATAAACAACCCTGGGATCGTGTCCTCAAGCACTGGGATGGGCTGGTGGTGGAGTCCCCATCCCTGGAGGGATTTAACATGGAATCCTGGAATGGTTTGGGTTGAAAATGACCTTAAATCCCACCCAGTGCCACCCCTGCCATGGCAGGGACAGCTCCCACTGTGCCAGGGGCTCCAGCCTGGCCTTGGGCACTGCCAGGGATCCAGGGGCAGCCACAGCTGCTCTGAGCTCCTGTGTCCCTGCACAGCATTTTCTGAAAATCTTCCACTTATTTCTTTTTCTTTTCATTTCCATTATAATCTCTAAAACCAGCCCTGCCCAATTCTTACCTGGAGCACTAAAAGTTATTGCAGCAAGGAAACAGGAATCAGCATGGGAACGAGCTCCAGAATCAGACACAATGAACATTTTGGGTTTGGCCCACACCTGGTACCAGGTGGAACTCTCTGCCACGCTGTCCATCCTTCCCTGGGAGGGTGGCGAGGGGCTGGGATGGAATTCCCAGAGCAGCTGGGGCTGCCCCTGGATCTCTGGAAGTGTCCAAGGCCAGGCTTGGGGCACTCTGGGACAACTGGAGGTGTCCCTGTCATGTCAGGGATGGCTTTGAGGTCCCTTCCCACCCAAACCATCCCATGGTGATTCCATTATTCTATCCAAAATTGCAAGCAGTTAACGAAGCAAAGCCTGGAGTCGTTCCCCTGTGAGAGGTGGAAGTGTTCAGCAGGTTTTGGGCTCTGGGCCTGGATTAGTTTCCCAGTATTGACTTCTCAAGCCCACACCCCACAGATCTCCACTCTAAATGCAAGAAATGTTCCATCCAAGCAGCCACACACTTCAAACAGAGCTCCTGTAAGGAACACAATTTACATAAATCCCCAGCTACTGCAGGAAGACAAAAGATTTAGCGGTGGGAGTTTAAGGAATGCAAATCCTCCTTGTTGAAGTCCAAGTGACACTGGAGAGGTTCCCAGCTCAGCAGCTTTGCTGCAGCACAAGTGCTCCCCTCAAAACCAGCTGGAGTAGCTGGAGCTACCCAAAATTCAGGGAGATTCTGGCCTGCATTGAAAAGGTGTTACTCAAAATTCAGGAAGATTCGGGCATGCATGAAAAAGGTGTTACCCAAAATTCAGGTTGATTCTGGCCTGCATGAAAAGGTGCTACTCAAAATTCAGGGAGATTCTGGCCTGCATTGAAAAGGTGTTAACCAAAATAAAGGTTGATTCTGGCATGCATCAAAATGGTGTTACCCAAAATTCATGGAGATTCTGGCCTGCATTGAAAAGCTGTCACCTGAAATTTATGGAGAATCTTGTCTGCATTGAAAAGGTGTTACCAAAATTCAGGTTGATTCTGTCCTGCATTGAAAAGGTGTTACCCACCCAAAATTCAGGGAGAATCTGGCATGCATGAAAAAGGTGTTACCCAAAATTCAGGGAGAATCGGGCCTGGTGTTAAATGGTGTTACCCAAAATTCAAAACGGTGTTCCCCAAAATTCAGGTTGATTCTGGCCTGCATGAAAAGGTGTTACCCAAAATTCAGGGAGAATCTGGCCTGCACAAAAAAGGTGTTTTCCAACATGTCCTGCCCACTTTTCCTCTGACAGCCTCCACTGATGTTCTGCTCAACCCTCAGGCATCCAAACATGCAAATGCAGGTACCCTCACTGCAATCTGGGTTCTTTTTCTTTCGTTTTTTTTTTTTTTTTTTTTTTTTTTTTCTTTGTTTTTTTTTTTTTTTTTTTTGTTTTGTTTCTTTGACACAGCACTGAATTCTATCAGTTCTACTTAGGCTGAAAATGTCTGGGAGTTAATCAGCTGTGATTATTACACAAGAAAGTTCTATTAAAAAATAGTCAGAGTTTAGAATTCAGCCTGGACTTCTGTTTTTTTGTAGGTGAAGCCATTAAAACCTAGATTTTTAGACAAACATCAATAGACACAGCACTGAATTCTATCAGTTCTACTTAGGCTGAAAATGTCTGGGAGTTAATCAGCTGTGATTAT